TATTTCTTTTATTTCCAAATCTAATCTTTTATCTTCATCATCAGGAACTTCTGCTTGTTATAATTAAGTGAATATTAACTGAAGCTGGTCTAGTTCTGTAATGGATATTAGGAACACATACGGAAGCCTCTCTTCCCTCAAGCAGCAAGTATTCTAACAGGCTGACCAGAAATGCTGTGATTTAATTCTGATTTCAATTTCTCTTTCTTTTCCTAATTAGTTCCACTTGCCTACCCCTCATTGCTTGTATCCACCTATTTCAGTGTGCACTTCATGTGTGCAGATATGTCTTTGTTTTAGATTTTATTTATGTATTTATTTTTAGAGGGAGGGAAAGGGAATTAGAAAGAGAGGGAGAGAAACATCGATGTGCGAGAGAAAAAAAATCGATCAGTTGCCTCTTGCATGTCTCCAACTGGGAACCTGGTCCACAACCCAGGCATGTGCCCTGACTGGGAATAGAACAGGCAAACTTTTGATTTGTGGGATGATGCCAGCCCACTGAGCCATACTAGTTGGGGCTACATGTGACTTTTTATTGATTCTCTTATTTCTGTTTATTAAATCCATCTTCAAATCTCCAGAAGTTTCTATATTATATGATTCCATGTCCATCATGTAGTAAGTTTTAGCTAAAACATGTTTTTGGTTTTTTTGGTTTTTGTTTTTGTTTTGTTGGAAAGACATTTGGAAGTAGTTGTACTTTGGATATCATAAAGGAGAAATAATAAGCAATTATTCAGTTCAATTCAATTACATTTACTGGGAGTCTTCTAGGTGCTAAAGGCTTTGCAAAGATCTGGAACCAGAGATAAGAGTCAGAGCCTCCTTCTCTCAAGGAACTCTCTCATACTCCCCACATGCCTTTGGTAAGAAACTTGGCACACTGCTGAAAGTGTTTACATGTCTGAATCCTACTTTAAATTAGTAGTCTTTCAAAGGCAAATGCAGTTATCTTTGCAACCTTCAGAGCCTAGCAGTGACTGACCACAGGAGATCAATAAAAGCTGGATGAACCAAATCTACACAGCTGTCCTGTGCAGCCAACCTGGAACTGAGTACAGTCTGTGTTTTGAATAAGGCTGAACACACACAGCTCCTGAGCCAAGTAAGGTGCTCTGCATAATTAAATCTAGAAACTGACTCCCATTTCACTATCTTATAATCTAATAAATTACAAAAATGAGTTCTCAAATAACTGAGTGACTCAGTCTAGTCAGAGAAATCATTAGTCAATTCAGTAATTGGTAAGTGTCTGAGATGAACAGGCAAGAGCCTTAGCTGTGTGGCATATTTAAGATGACCACATAGAACAAGATGTTAATCCAGACATCTTTAACTGCCTATATAAGACACGGGCTACATGAATGCTCCTAGAAATGTAATTTAATGACAAAATTTAACTCAGGCTTTACAAATCTGTCTACAATGAGCACTCAGTTTTCTGCCTTGCAGTGTACCTATGAATGACAATATTGCCCTGAGAGAAAGGAAATATACAAACTGGTTTCTTCACTTCTAGGTAATTATAAAGCAGATTCCATTTAGAAAGTGCAAGAAACCTGATAAACACAGGGCCTAATGTGAACCATTTTAGTGTAGGTGTAACAATTTTGGGGGTAATATTTAAATTTAAGGAATGTTTTCATTGGACAAGTATGGAGAATAGGGTTTCAAGAATTACAGACTGGGCTGAGAGGGCCATTTAGGGCAATGGTTTTTATACAGGGGAGGTGGGGAGTTAATTGGGCACCTCAGATGACCTGGACAGCTTTCTCAAACTTCTTTACTAACCACAGAATGGTCTCTCAGATAAGGATTTGAAGTCAAAGTGAAAAAATAAATGCCTAAAGAAATACAGTGTATCAGCACTATAAATGTTGATTGACAATGATATAGGACAAATCTGATTGTACATTTCTTACGATTAAATTTATCTCTACTGTTGGAAACTGATCATGACTATTTTTTCTAAAAGATGACCCATATATTTATATTGGTTTTATTAATACAATGAAGCAATTATTGCTATTTTTAAAAGATGAAACTGCAGCTACTTCTATACACTGAGGGGGCAATATAATTTATCTCATGGAAATATGTGGGTAAGATGGATTTTTAGGTGCATAGGTTTATCAAGGTGAGAGAAAGCAAAAGGAAGTTTGCTCTACATAATAAACATGGGGTGGTAGGGAGAAGTGAGGAGTTGGTATCTTTGCAAAAGTACTGAGCTAACAGGACATGGATGAGGTCTGGAAGAAGTTATGAGTAGGTACAAGGGAACTGGGTCTCAACTGAGGAAGAGAAAAGCTGGAAAAAGAATGGCTGTGAGATGCTGATGCTGAATTCTGTTTCTGTTCTTCCTCTCTATAGATGTCAGCATCTCCCAAAATCAAAGAACAGTGCTTTGGTGAATGAAACAAATAGAGCTACGTCCATGTTTGGGGTAAAGCAGAACAGCATCAAAAAAGATAGCTGTAGCACCTGAAAGGTTTGGCCATGAGAAATCAAAAGTTGAACTGGGAGCAGCAGTTTGGAGGAAACAGTGCCTGGCAACCATCAGAAGAATAACCCCCAGGTTTCCTCAGGAGTCACAGAGGAAGTGAGGGACTACTAAGTTACTTGAGATGAAGGCCTTCAGTTATTTACTTTGGATTTTTAAGCATTAAATATGAGCCTATAGACTAGTGAATCTGGAGACATTCAGATTATACAAAGTTGATGACAATTTTATTTACCTGAATGGTAGAATATTTGCTTTAATTGCAAAGAAAACTATATTCAACAAGGTCATTTGTGTTTTAAAGCTTTTATTCATATATAATAAATTTCTGTACTTAACTCTTCTGGTAAATAGAAGCAATAAAGCTGGAACTTTTAGCCTTAAGAGAGAAATGGAAACTCCAAAATAAAATACCTAAATCTATTTTTTCCTTTTGTTAAGTGGTTCTTTAAGAAGATATATATATATATATATATATATATCATATATATATATATCATATATATATGATATATATATATATATCTTATATATTTTTTTTCCATAGTGTATAAAATATTTTAAGAAAGAAGTATATATGGTAAAGGAAGGAAGGAATGAGAGTCCCTTTACTAATTCACCAACTGTTATCTGTTGCATGCTTGTGTCTAGGAACAGTATCTGTTAATGTTTTCCTCTTTGGGATACCTGTTTACCATATTATGTGCAGTAATGAAAAATTATGAACTTCATGCTAAAAAAGTTAGTAAAATATTTTCCCCATCAAACCACACTGATTGAATAATATTTGATTCAAAATACTTTTTAGATTAAAAAGCTAACTGATTTTTATTAACACTTTTCGTACTTTCTTTGATTTTTCCCAATCAAAATAGATATACATTGTACATATGACTCACATACATTGTACATATGACTCACATACATTGTACATATGACTCACATATATGTACATAGCCCCATCATGCAATATAATGTAGGTATAATTATCTAGAAATAGCCCTTGAGTAAACTTAGATTCACAGACCAAGTTCACATAGCTAGGAAGTGTCTCGGCATTCTTACTTTCATGTACCATCATACATTTCATTGGGCCTGTTTTAGTTTATACATTTCTTGATGCCAATAAACCATGGATTGTACTAACTTATTCATGATATACCCAGCAGAATCCTGTATCCATCAGGGCATTTAGTCAATTCTCAGTTGCTTGTAGACTGTTCATGCCACTTTCTAAACCTAGGCTGGCTTTTTCTTATTGGTAGATATTTACTCAAAGAAAGCTGCCTTTCAATATTCAGATACTTTTTCTGAAAATATTTAAGAAAAGCCAAATATAAGTAAGAGTAGATCTCCTATGGATACTCAATCTATGTTCTAAAAATAAAACATGACTTCTGGATAAATTGGTGTTTCTGTCTGCAATACTTTTTCTGTATTCTTCATACAGATTACCAAAAATAGACTGCTTTCAATGTTGATAACTAAGTTTACTTTTGCATTCCTAAATGCAGAACAAAGTGCTTTACCTAAGTGTCCTAATTTAAACAGAGACTAGCAGGAAGCATCCACTTTCCATAAACACTTCTAAACAGGAAGACAGAACTCTCCCCTGACATTAGCATTTTTAACTAACCAGAGATAAAAATAGTATATCAAAATGTTCCCCTGGGGAAGAGGTTGTTTACAGGAGCTCCCATTTGCCAAACTTCCACATGGGTGCAAACCAGGATTAAGGGTGACAACCATGTTTGTCATCTTTAAAGTCATTCTTCATATCTAAGAAAAAAATGAATTATGTGACATGTCGTTTTTTGAGTATAGGATCTGGTATAAGCTTAAGAAGATATAAACTCTTTTATAGCTACAATTAACCTGCCTAGTAATACATGGTAGCCCCTAAAAATTGAAGAATAAAAGAAGTTATGAATTAATGAATTCAACAATATCAATGTTTCATTTGTTAATATTTACTTATACTCTCTATATGGTACTTACATCCCTGGAAAAACCATGAGAGAATCAAATGTCATCTTTGGAAAATAAAACAACACAAAACAAAACAAGTGTACTGTTTTTAATAGTTATTTGAGAAAACTTATAATGAACAATATTGATAGTGACCCTAGAAATGCAAATTAGCCAAATATAATAGCATCCCAAATATTTTAAACTTTATTTGTTTGTTTGTTTATAAATATCACTGAGGAGAAAGCGACATTCAGGGAGGGAAAAGGAGGTAAACAGAAATATTTAACATCTTTAGTCCCATTAAAAATGACTGTTGTATTTGTTCTATGTTATATAAAAATAATTTATATATAGATAGCAACAATTTTTCTCAGGAGAAAGAAATGAATAGACGTTTAATTCCACGAGGCTCCCTAAATCAAGAGCTGTTGTGAAGGACTTGCCTAATACAGACTCCAAACACATGATTCCGTACATATGTGCACTGTTGCTATTTTCGAATTGAGGCTGAATGAAAATAACTTACCTGATACAACAATAATAAGAATCTTAGCGTTGGTAGCTAAGAGACTATGGAAGAATTTCAGGGTTGCTGGGATGTCTTTTACATAATACAGCATCTAGAAATAAAGGAAAAAAGAAATGAAAGAGTTTTCTATGCAATATCTTTGTGTGCTTAGGCTAGATACTCCCAAGTAGATTTTACTGAACAAAACACTTAAGAAGTTTAAAAATTAAAGATGTAGTGTGGAGAGATAGAATAATATATGAGAAAAATTTTGAGGAAAGGGAAACTATGTTATTTGTTCAACTAGAGCCAAATAGTTTTAAATTTACTCTCTCTGGCTTTAATAACACACACATCTATAGCTGGAGACACTTACTCTCCACTTCACATGGAGGCAATGATTCTGTGCTTACTCTAAATTGTATGAATTGTAGTTCTTCTGGGAGAAATTGGGGCTAGCACCATAAACACAGACTCCATTTCACTGAATGTTGCTTTCAAATGAAGTCCTTTGTGCTAGCTTCACCACACACTCAGATGCTTTTCTTAAATCACAGAAACTATGACAGGCTTTGATGCTAACATACTCTCTAGGACAGGACTAAATAAAACATGAAGTTACATGCTTGGCTACAAGATACTAGGAGTCAATCTACCAATTTTTAATCATTCTGGACCATCCCTTGTGATGTGCAGAGAGTGGTCTTTACACCTAACACAGCTAGAGCTTGGAATTTTACATTGGCAGTAGAAAACTTTTCCGTAGGGCTTATATTCTTGGACTCTACCTCCATAGACATTTACTTCTAATATCTCATCTTTGTCTCTCTTGGACAAGCATTCAATATTTTATGTAGATTCCCAAGGTAGAATTTATTGCATAAAACAAAACCAACTTAATCTATGGCTTCTCGCACAAATAAATGAAAGGAAATGGACTTGTACATGGTCTTGCTGCCTCAGCACCTCAACAGCCCTATTTACTATTATGTCATTCCATGCTTCACCACAGGGTCAATACTTAGATAGGTACCCACATACAGCTAATCCATACGATGGTTAATAGTCTATTACTTGACCTGGTGAAAAAGTGGAGGTGGGCCACAGCAGATACTCTGGAATTTGTTCTGATAGACACAGATTCTCTGTAGTTGACTGTCAACATTAAGATGAAAATGTTATGAGAGTGTTAGGACTATAGAGAACAATGAAGAGACAGAGACACAGCAGAGAAAAGTACAGAGTAGACAGAGAGGAAGAGAGGAATAGAGTCATAATGCAAAGGAAACAGAGTTGTAAGAAAAACCATACAGGAGCTTTGAGAGAAATGGGAGAATGATCTCTGAAGCTGCAAAATTTCATACCTGGCAAAGAATAGATCCAGAATATAACTGTAGGGACTGGCTTTTGATAAAAGGAGGCTCTTGTAATAAGATGAAAGAAAGATATGATGGGTGCAGTTGTACCTATGATTGTAAATTTAGAGGGTAAAGAAAGATGAGTTTCTATCTGATGGCTTCTTCTCTCCCTATACAGAATGAAGTGAGGCCATCAGTTGGGAATGAGTGGTGGGAAAAGAGTTATATGAGGCATAAGGAGAGACAGGGAGGCATGAAATAGTTGTGTGAGGATATGAGAAGCAAGCCTGATAGAGGAATATCATAGGCTTGCTGGGCATTCCCTTATAAGTAAAGGATTTTATCAGCTAAGAGAGCAGAGATGTAGGAGGATTGCCTGAATATGCCAATCTTGGAATCATATCTTTTGTTGATTTCTTTAAAGTTTACTTCTTTGGGGTAACTGTACTTGTGGACTGTAGAAAATAAGGAACATCTTGTTGTTAATTGTGGTATTTCTAAAATATACACATCTTCTAGTAGGTGCCTATATACTCATATGCTATCCAGAAATATTAGTGAAACTATGTCATTATACTATCTACTGAATAGTCATCTCCTTTCCAAGAAATACACTATCAGTGCTGGACCATGAAAATAAATTCCTACTGAATGACTAACTGATATTAATAAAACTTTATTAACCTGAGGAATCATCTAACCTGCCCCTTTTGTCACGTGCACACTACAAGCCAGATCATCAACAGAAGGCAAAAGCAACAGGATTCAGAAAAAATCTGAGACATGGTCCATCCAGACCACTAGAGCTACTGGAAAACTGTGGTAGATATATGTTATTACACTTTCCTGTCCTCAAATATATTTATAAACCGTCAGTCCTACGGGAAGAAAATCAGTAACTCTGGACGTATTTTGAGTAGAGAAAACTGGCTTTTTGAATGTTACAGAGAATTACATAGTAGTAACATCTATATCCTCAATTTGAATATGCTCACTTATAAAATCAGAAATCAGAGTCTTATTTTTCTTTTTAAAGTTAGAATATGAAGTACTCTTCATACATATTTCTTAAAAAATCTTCCTTCTGAGAGTATATAACCATAAATATTTCTTACCTGAATCATATGAATAAAGTCCCACTTCTGAAGTTCTTTTTTCTCCATTATTCTATTTCTATATTCAGATGCTGTCTCCTTATGCCAAGCAAACTTTATGTTCTCAAGGTTTGAAGACTTGGCTACAACCTCTAAAATACAGAAAAGAGGTGGTACACCATCAATTTTAATTGCAAATGTGGAGCCCATTTCCATTTAGAATTTTAATGCAATCAATGTTATATACATAACAAATATAAAACACATTTTTCTTTCTTCCGTAGCTCTGGAAGACCAGAAAGTTCATCCTGATTTTCTTCTCATTTTAAATAAAATTAGAGGTGAGAGAAAGAGTCAATAAGAAGTAATTATAAGAACCTTGATTGAACCTAGGTTACATTATCTCAGTATTAATGGGGAATTAACTGGTGAACTTTATTGAGGAAAAAACTGATGTAAAACAGGTGATATGATTCTGTAACCCAAGAGTCAGCAATCATGGCCCATGGGCCATGTCTGACCCACTACCTATTTTAAATGAACCACAAGCGAAAAACATATACTATTGCCTGTCTTTATTCCTTTCATATCTCATGCTATTAGTTTTAAATGACTGAATGAAATCTTAAGAATACTGTTTTGTTATATGCAAAAATAATATCAAATTCAATTTTCAGTGTAAATAAATAAAATTCTATTGAAACATACCCACAGTCATTAGTTTATTTTTGTCTGTGAATGCCTTTGTACTACTGTGGCAGAGTTGATTAGTTGTGACAGAGATTCAGTGGTCTTCTACTAAGTTTAAAATATTTACTACTCTGGCCTTTTTTCAGAAAAAGTTTTCAGATTTCTACTATAATCAACTAACATAAGCTCTTTAAGGAGGGGGATTCTGATTAAACACTTCTCAGTGAATTACTAAGTCTGTATCTAAGAATAAACATCAAAAAATAGTTTGTACCCTGGCTGGCATAGTTCAGTGGATTGAGCACGGGCTGCAAACCAAAGTATTGCAGATTAGATTCCCAGCCACGGCACACGCCTGAGTTGCAGGCCACGGCCCCCAGCAACTGCACATTGATGTTTCTCTCTTTCTCCCTCCCTTCCCTATCTAAAAATAAATAAATAAATCATTAAAAAATAGTTCGTGACCAGTGAATGGATGGAGAGTCAGTAAATACAGGGGTTTAATTATTCATTGTTTATATTATGAGGCATTTAGTTATCCCTGCCAAGAAAACGAATTAATTAGGTGTCCGAATAAGCTTACAAAGAACATACCACAGTAATGATGCTGTTAATGATCAAGAGGACAAATTTGGGATGATTAGCCTTTTTGGCCAGATTTTAACATATAGCACCAGGAGTTACAGGTACCTTTATACTTGGCAATTTGTTCAGCACTTGGCTCAACAACTTCATTTTTGATAGGAACTCCTGGGTACTGAGCCTGCACTTTGGAGAGAATGTGAAGATCAATTTCACCTAGAATACAAGCATAGGAACAAATCACATCAGTACAGGAAAAAAAAACTATTAAAAATAATTTCAACTGGTTTATCTGTTTTAGTTTACTAGTAAAGTCCAGCATACAAAAGGAATAGTGCTCAGTTGTAGCTCTGCCACATTTTCTATGATGCAGAACAGGTAGGTTATAAGTAGGGATAATAAAGTAATTTGAGGAATGCTATAATTGCTATTTATTGATTCATTTACTCATTCATATAATGTTTATTCAATATCTATTTTTGTATTACATTAAATGTAAGATGCCATTGATTATAGGATGCAACCAACCCTTCCTTTTTTATCACTAAGTCAGAAAAAACACTCTCAATTATAATTTTAAGATATCATTAACTGAAAAATGTATCCCAATTTCACAGATGTTAACATACTAAAAAAACAAACAAACCAAAAAACAAAAAAACCTTAGAATAAACTACACTAGGTCAGAAGCATACAAAAAAGTTAGATGCAAAATATGTCAGGTACAAAAAAGGATATAAAATTTTGTCAGATATCTATCTTCAAAAACACCAGAGTGTAGTGAAGAAATAGACATGGAAAGAATTCTGACTGGGTTGAGCTACGGTGGGAAGAAGGAAGGAGACAGTGAAGGAAAGGACAGACCAGAGAGGTAGAAGGTTTCATGGAGAAAGATTATTCCTGAGTTCTGTGTTACAGAGTAAGAGGAAGTTAGGCCAGAGACTTCTGGGGAAATGAGGAATTGCAAGTAGAGAGGACAGGAAGATGGAGGCATGAAATCAGGAAGCAGAACAGTATACATGGGGACTACTGGCAGTTCAGAATTTTGAAATATTGGGCCAGGCACAGCTTCTAAGAAAGAGGGACACCAGAGAGGTAATTGGATAGAGGATTACAGCAGAATAAATATTTACTCATTGATTCATGCATCAACTATTAACTGATTGTTTACTATGTGCCAGACACTATGCTAGGCTCTAGCAAATGACAAGAAGAGACGTAGATATCTGCCCTGATGAAAATTTAGCCTGTCAGTGATTGCATGAAAGAGATGGTGGTAACATGGATGGAATTGAGTCCCAAAATTGTTTCTCTGCTTACTGGGTATATATAACCTCTGGCAATTTGCTTTACCTCTCCAAGCTATATTTTTCTCACCATAAAAATAGCAGTGATGGTACATAATTTATTAGTTGTGAGGGTTACATGATGCAAGGCATATAAAGCACAGTGCAAGATAGAGTTGGCACCCAATAAATGTTAGCTGTACATTTTTATTATTATTAAGTTTCTCTCCTCAAAAATTTATCTTTCTTCCCTATTACTGATGACTCCAACTTAAATTTTGCTCTTAGGTGGTTATGATGTTGATAGCTTCACTGAAACAGACATATGTGCTGGTAAGTCTAGTATATTAAAATGATGTTAGTCTTTAATATTTTGTCATAAATTACATTAATAGAACCTATTTAAGGTTAGATATAGCAGGCAACAAAAGCACATATCATAAGACTGAGAAGTATGAAAGGAAGATGAAGAAGATAAATTAGGAACAAAACATGCTAATGTAGGAAGAGGAGGGAGTATAACGGTATATAATGAGTGTATAATGGTATAACAGGAGATAGTGAAGGGTTGTGGGGGGACAAAGAGTAGAATAGAAATAGAAATGGAAGATGAAGGAGACTAAGTGACAATTTTCTCCAAAGCTGTCCCCACAAACATGAAACCTGTAATTTCTTCCTTATTAATTCTAGCTGCTACTAATTAGCCACCTACTATTTGTCAAACTATGTAGGGGCTTTACTTGGAACATCTCATTTAATCTTGACCATAATACTATTGCAAACTCCATAAGAGTATGTCCAACAAGAAAAGGTGATTTGAGTAATTTGACACTCAGTAGATACTAATATGGGTAAAGTTTAAGGCACATTTTTTCTGATTCTAAAGTATTTGTTCTAACGATTTCATACAAGAAATAGGAAGATACCAAATTCTTAGAGGACATAGGATGTTTTTATTCTTCTCTACAATAACTATTTCTGAAGGGTAAATAAAATAATTAAGGCAAAGGCAGCTATGAAAAGCTGTAAGTTAACAAGAAATAGAGAGATTCCAGATTGCCCCAAAGGACCAGAAGCCAAAGTTCTGTTCTTGGCTCTATCAGCCTAACCATATATTTTTAAATTTTAAAAAATAACAATTATGAGGATCCTAAATCCAATATTTTAAAACTCAGATAGCTGAAATGCAATCATTTTCCCCCTGCATCTTAATGAGCTCTTCTCCTAAGGTGGATCTGTTTAAATGGCGAAATGCACCCAGCACATCCCATGCATGTTTTAACTTGTCACTTTCCTAACCAGCAGAATGTTCTGCCACAGTCAGAGCCTGCCAGTACCTTCTCCCATGGCAATGATGGAGGACAGAATACTAGAATTGCAATTGAGACACAGAAACCATGGCTCACATAACCTCTAAAATATGACTCCATGTGTGGACATGAGCCATACAAGCATTCACAGCTGGATCCCTAGGAGAAATAAACTACCAACAGGGGTAATAATGAAACTATTTCTGCAGGGGTTAGCATATAAAATCCCTTTCTGACTTCATAAGTCAAGTGACCATACCCTTATTTGCCAGGGACAGTTCCACTTGATGCTTGTTGTGCTGGTGTCACATCTGGATTTATTTCTTATTTTAAGTTGTTTTTATTTCTAACAAAATATTATTGTTAAAATTTTATTTTTGAATATAGGTTTTTAAAAGAACTATTTAATAAATAGACAGATATAACATCTGTCTACCTACCATCTATGATACTTATTCTCTGTACCTTTTCCCCCCTCCCTCCTGCTCCCACTCCCCTGTTGCTAACCCTCCATGTGATCTCCATTTCTGTGGTTCTGTTCCTGTTCTAGTTGCTTGCTTAGTTTATTTTTGTTTTTGTTTTAGGTGTGGTTGTTAATAATTGTGAGTTTTCTGTCATTTTACTGTACATGTTTTTTATCTTCTTTTTCTTAGATAAGTTCCTTTAACATTTCATATAATAGGGGCTTGGTGATGATGAACTCCTTGAACTTGACCTTATCTGAGAAGCACTTGATCTGCCCTTCCATTCTAAATGAAAGCTTTGCTGGATAGAGCAGTCTGGGATATAGGTCCTTGCCTTTCATGACTTGGAATACTTCTTTCCAGCCTCTTCTTGCCTGCAAGGTCTCTTCTAAGAAATCAGTTGACAGTCTGATGGGCACTCCTTTGTAGGTAACTGCCTCCTTATCTCTTGCTGCTTCTAGGATTCTCTCCTTCATTTTAATCTTGGGTAATGTAATTATGATGTGCTTTGGTGTATTCCTCCTTGGGTCCAACATCTTAGGGACTCTCTGAGCTTCCTGGACTTCCTGGAAGTCTATTTCCTTTGCCAGAATGCGAAAGTTCTCCTTTATTATTTGTTCAAATAACATTTCCACTTGTTGCTCTTCTTCCCCTTCTGGTATCCCTAAAATTTGGATGTTGGAACGTTTAAAGATGTCCTGGAGGTTCCTAAGCCTCTCCTCATTTTTTAAAATTCTTGTTTCTTCATTCTTTTCTGTTTGCTTCTTTCTTCCTTCTGGTTCACTCCATTGATTTGAGTCTCGGTCTCCTTCCCATCACTACTGGTTCCCTGTGCATTTTCCTTTATTCCACTTAGCTTTGCCTTCATTTCATCTAATTTGCAACCAAATTCAACCAATTCTGTGAGCTTCCTGATCACCAGTGCTTTGAACTGTGCATCTGATAGGTTGGCTATCTCTTCGTTGCTTAGTTGTATTTGCCGTGGAGCTTTGATCTGTTCTTCTGTTTCGGCCATTTTTTTTTTTTTTTTTTTTTTTTTGTCTTGAGGTGCCTGTTACATATGAGGGGCAGAACCTTAGGTGTTCACCAGGGCGGGGCAACCCAGTTGCTGGGTTGTGATGCTGTATGTGGGGGCAGTGTCTAGAGGGAATAATGGCTTCTGCTCCGCTCTGTCGGATTTCAGCCCCTTCTGCCGCTTCCCCCAAGCAAAATCGGCATTTCTGGTGCTGATTCCCATGTGGGTGAGATTGTGTACATTCCAGGACCCTGTGGGTCTCTCCAATGAACTCTCCTGTGAGATGGGAGTATCTCCTTGTGCCTCAACCCCCACAGGTGTTCAGTGTTTTTGAGACTTTATTTCCTGGTGCTGGGACCCTGGGTTGCACGGTCTGTCTCACTCTCCAGTTTTGCCTGGTTTATCTGCGTGGGACTGTGGGACCACCTGGTCACCCAACTGCCTTGCACATAGTGCCTTGCTTTACAATCGCCACCTCGCTGGGTCTGCTTGTTGCTGCCCCACACCCGGGGTCTGCCAGCCACTGCCTGTGCGCGCAGGATCCGCCTGCTGTGGTCTTGTGCACCTATGATGCCATACACACTGGGTGCCACCACTTTTCGTGCCAGGACCCTTCTCCACCCAGCTGTCCAACTCTGCTCCACCTACTGGTCAGGATGAATTGTGTCTATTTTAACTCCTTGGTTGTCAGACTTCCATACAGTTCAATTTCCTGTCAGTTCTGGTTGTTATTTTGTTTCTAAATTGTTGTTGTCCTTATTTTGGTTGTGTTAGGAGGCACAGTGTGTCTACCTACTCCTCCATCTTGGCCAGAATTCTAAAACGTATTTTATTGATATGCTATTACAGTTGTCCTACTTTCCCTGCTTTATTCCCCTCCACCCTGGACATTCACTCCTACCCATATTCCACCCCCCTTAGTTCATGTCCATGGGTCGTACATACAAGTTTTTTGGCTTCTGCATTTCCTATACTATATCTTAACTTAACCCTGTCTATTTTCTACCTACCATTTATGCTTCTTATTCTCCATACCTTTTCCCCCATTCCCCCTCCCCTTCCCTGCTGATAAACCTCCAAGTAGTCTCCACTTCTGCGATTCTGTTACTGCTCTAATTGTTTGTTTAGTTTGTTTTCTTTC